GAACAAACATGCAACTATTACCGAATGGCATCATGCAGAAGAGTTAACGCTCAGATGCTACTGGATCGCTAACAACAACAACAACAATATTGAGAACTCTGTCATTAATGCTTTTAACAGCACCAGAAACTCTGTCAATGTCACTTCTCATCTCGAACATGTTTGACATGAACTTCTTGGCAAAGAAAGTACATGAGTTATTGCAGTACCAGTGTAGCATAGGAGCATTAGACTTACTGTATTCTTTACTTTTTAGAATACTTCTAGTATGAAGATCTCTTTGAAACTTTCAGTATTTCTCAAAAAATCATTTTGACAGACTGCTATGCAAAGCGTACAGATCAGATTAATGAGTTTATTTCCTCTTTGGAAAGTTGCGGCACAGAGTTCCCCACATCGTATGGATACGATAGTAAAACGCGACGTACGGATAGGGCTAAAAGTGCTGTATTTTCCTCTGATTTATTTCAATAGACCCCGGCTTAGAAACCTGACAGCGAAGTAAAAATTTCCTCTACTAAATTTTTTTCCTTTCACCTCCTTTCCTGTTCTCTAGACATTCTGTCATCTGTTTCCATCTCTACTTTCTCTCCCCTCCCACCCCGGGCTCTTGACTCTTTCTCTATTATGTACTGCTTCTCCTGGTTCCTTCTCACTCCTGTCTTTCAGCCACTCCCCTGATATTTGAGTTTGAATGCGTACGATCGAATACCTAGCGTTCTCGGATAAAGGCAAAAAATTTTGGAGGCCTTGGGTGCAAGTTGAGTACGTTAACCCTCATCCTATGGGAGCCGGGTGTAAGTTCCCATAAGTGTATTTCAACACCTTGCCTTCCATCCGGTCGATGATATCAGTCCGGCCCTGGCTCAGTGCACACGCACCGAGCGTAAGTCCTGTTATGACCAGGTCCCATGTTCCCGCAGCTCAAGTGAGTGTGTGTCAGTCTGCTTGAGTTTGTGTGCGTTTGTGACCTACATCTAGGATGGATACTGTGAGGTGCTAAAGCAGGCTAGGACTAGAGGGAAACACTAGGAAAGACTCAAAGAGGGAAGCTTGGAAACTGTCATCACTAGGCCTGGATCTTTAGAATCATGATCAGAAGACGTGGCGGGCATCCCCCTTGCAAGGTCAAACAAGATGGCTGTTACTCTAAATTTCGGCCAGTGACGTTTAGTTTTCGTTCTCTAGCTATCCGCTTGTCTTGTGTCTTAAACACCAAGTCTAAGTCCAAGAGTAAGTAAGTAAGACTAAAAGGTAAGTTAAGATCAAGAAGTTGAGACATTGGCCTACTTCTGTCATTGCCATAGATCTTTAAGTGACAGACTCAGACTTGACAGTGGTAGATCTAAAGATCTAAGTCTAAGTAAGCCTGCCTTAAAGACCCTAAGCCTAAGTCATGAGTGAGATGTGATGAGTAGATCAGAATGTCATCTCACATGTTGATACGCATGCGTGCAAGTGAAAACGATTCAGAATTGGCTTGGGGTAAAATTACGGCTTTGTGGAGTTAAAGTGGTGTTCTTGATGAATTAAAAATCTGGTTGGATTGCTTTGAGAACTTGGATGAACAGAAATTTTGATGAAGAATTGCTATAAATATATACATGTTTATAAACAATTGTATTTTTTACTATATGCATTATAAGTACAGTGGAAACCATATATAACAGGCCCGGAAATAACAGGGATCCGGTAATAACAGGGATGTTTAAAATCCCCGTTTTTTCCTACTCTTTGTCTCTATTAAACGTTATCGGCAATAACAGGGCCTCATCGGAGCCCAACCGGTTATAGCAGGGACAAAGGCTCGTTAACAATGTGTAAAAAGTAAGAGAGAGAGAGAGAGAGAGAGAGAGAGAGAGAGAGAGAGGACGACCGGTCGGACTAGATCAAAGCCTACTTCTTTCATTATGGTCACCAACGATGTCAAGCACAAGAGAAAATGCCTTTTAATTGACAAAAAATACGAAATAATCCAGACTGTTGACAAAAAGCAAGCTCTACTCTACTGGCAGAGATTTGTCGTCCGTTCGACATTCCACAAGGGTCGATTCCCACCATTATCAAGGATAGAGAGAAGATAGTGGCAGCATACTCAAATGAAAAGTTTGCTCTGGATCGAAAGAAGATGAGACTACCCGCTGTAGATGCTCTGG